TGGGCCTGTCTATGGCTGAAAGACAACCAACCCAAAGGCTCATACGCATTTCGATGGCTGATTTTTCAGAAGTAGGTGGACAGGCCTTTCTTCCAAGGTGCCTGGGGATGGCCTGGAACTTTTTAGTTACCAGCCCATTTCCCCTGAACCCTTCGCACCTCCCAGGGCATCAGAGACTCTAAAGTTTAGTAAATGGATGAAAAGAAACTCTGTCCACCCTAACAACTGAGCCCCTCAGGTTCTAGGTTTTAGCTGTGCAGACCTTTCCAGCCGGGCTTCTCATCTAGGGCCCACCAACTCTTCCAGGGCTAACCAAGTCCGTTACACAGTGCCAGCTCCTATAGAGGCAGTGATCTGGAAAGGGCCGGTCTCCAGGGCCGCCTCTCACTGTGGGTTCTCCCTCCCAGTTCCAGGTCTGCCATGACGGACCGCCTGCTCTGCTCCCTGGCCATCTGTCTCATCCTAACGACCCGCGGGGGTCAGCCGGGGGACGGCGGAGCCCATGCCAAGGCCGCGGATGCCCAGGGGGGGCGGTTCGCCAATGCAAGTGGGGGCCTGCCCCTGCTCCCCGCCAACTTCCACAAGGAGAACACGGTCACCAACGTGTGGCTGCAGGAGGGGGAGGAGGACGACGACTACGTGGACCTGGAGAAGCTGCTCAGCGAGGATGACGACTACATCGACGTCATCGACGTGGCCACGCCCGTGGACCTGGGCGCCGGTGCCGGCAAGGAGCTCCAGCTCTTCGCGGGCAAGAGCCGGATCCAGCGCCTGAACGTGCTGAACGCCAAGTTCGCCTTCAGCCTCTACCGGGCCCTGAAGGGACGGGCCGCGGCCTCTGAGAACATCTTCCTGGCACCCATTGGCATTTCCACGGCGATGGCCATGATCTCCTTGGGCCTTGAGGGGGCCACTCGGGAGCAGGTGCACTCAGTCCTACACTTCGAGGACTTCGTCAACGCCAGCAGCAGCTACGAAACGCTGACCGTGCACAACCTCTTTCGCAAGCTCACGCACCGTCTCTTCAGGAGGAACTTTGGGTACACGCTGCGGGC